TTTATTTATGTCTTTTTATTCTTTTTCTTTGTTTTGTATTTTTGTTAGCATAAACTAAATCTATCAATAAAAAGTATTAAATTGGGGAAGTTTTATTTTTAGAAGTTATTATTATTTTTAATTTTTGTTGTTTTTTAAGCCCTCTTTAAATTTTGACAAAATCTGATAGTTTGAGTTATACATACATATTGACAACACAACATTTTCGAATTCGCCAAAATTGATATCAGATTCTAGGTTTTTTATTTTTTACATTAATTTTTGTTATTTTTTAATTTACCACACAAATGAAGCAAAAATTCCTTGTTTAATCATTTATTTCGTTAAGTGTAAGTACAATATTCTCAAAACTTGTCATCCTGTTGAGGAATCAACTCAAAATGCATCATCGGCGACCTCTTCAACCTCCTCACACACCTATTACTCCCCTTGGCCTCCTTGACAAATCCCGGATTACAAATACAGAAATTGGGGGCTGAACAAGTCCCATTCTCGCATCCTCCGGGACAAAACGCTACACATCTATTCCCCTTGGGGTTGGAGGGGTCCACTGTGTACCCCTTTTTGCACGTACATGTGTTGGGGGCGGTACAATCGGCATTAAGACAAGGTTCGCGACAATGGGGTATGCACATTGAACCTGTTTTATCCAATGACCAGCCGGGTTCACATGAACACACGTTGGGGGCGGTACAAAGGCCGTTTTTGCACCCTTGGGGGCACTCGGCCACACACGCCGTCCCCACTTGCTTGAATCCGGGCTTGCAGGAGCACTGGTTGGGGCCGATGCAGGTGCCGCCCCCGCAGCCCCCCTCGCAGAAGTACTCGCATTTGTTGGTTTGGGGGCTCAGAATAAACCTAAAAAAAATATTTTTGAGACAATTAAAAGAAAATTTTTCTTTGAACTTTTATAGGCAGTAGAAGTCTTTAAAAAAAGAAAGAAAAAAAGAAAGAATTTTACTTATTTTTATTAAGTTTTGTACGATATCAGTATCGAAATTTTGTTTTCTTTTTTTTATTTCTTTTTACCTTTTTTTTTTATTCTAGTTTTTATTTTTGTATTTTTTTTGTTAACTTTCTTTTGTTTTTACAATTATTTTTCTTACCCGGGTTTGCAGCGACAGGCCTCCGCCCCGATGCAGTCGCCCCCTACCCCGCAGCCCCCTGTGCACACCGGTGTGCAAAATTTACCATCTGGGCTCAACTGGAAGCCGGCGTTGCATGAGCAAAGCCCATTGTTGGTACAAACCCCATGGAGGCACCCAATGGGACAAGTGGGAATACAGTTTTGGAGATTATCCTTGATATAGCCTCGTTTGCAAGAACACACGTTGGGGGCGGTACAGTTGCCATTAGGGCAGCCATTTTCGCAAACAGGTTCGCACTCGAAATGGCTGTGGGGTTTTCGGGCCCATCCTGAGCAACAAATCTCGATTTTGCTGAAGCCGGGCCTGGACTAGAATGGGGGGAAATTTAAAATTTTGACAAATGTATAAGTAAAAGGCAGGAAACTTGAATTTTGACAAATGTATAAGTAAAAGGCAGGAACCTTGAACTTTAACATTTCGAATGTTATAATATTTTTTCGTGGAAATAAATAGAAGTTAATTTTCGGCAATTTCTAATTGTTATTAAAGCGGAAATTTTAAATTATTGTCTAATATTTAAGATTGAAAAAGACAGGGAACTTGAATTTTGACACCTCTAATGTTTTAAAAAGAAATTTTTCGATGAAATAATAAATAAGTGTGAAAAAAGCGGGAAATTAGAATTTTTGACAAATCCTAAAAATTAAGAAAAGCGAGAAATATGAATTTTGTCAATTCTAATTGCTTTTAACTTATTTTTTAAGCAGGAAATTTAAATTATTAACAAATATTTAGTTTTAAGAAAGGCGGGCAATTTGAATTTTGACACTTTAATGTTTTTGGCAAATTTTTTGTAGAAATAATGATAAAGTTTGAAAAAAGGGGAAAAATTAGACTTTTTTGACAACTTTTAGAAACTGAAAAAGGGTGGAAAATTTGATTTTCGGCAACTCTAATTGTTTTCAAAGCAATTTTTTCCCGGAAAAAATTTTCAACAGTTTGGAAAAAAAGGCATGACATTTGAATTTTTTACAATTATTAAAGATTTAAAACGAAAAAAATTTTGAATTTTGACACCTCTAATGTTTTAAAAGGAGTTTTTTCGAGGAAATACACACAAGTGTGAAAAAAGTGGGAAATTAGAATTTTTGACAAATCTTAAAGATTAAAAAAAGCGAGAAATACGAATTTTGTCAATTCTTTTAACTTATTTTTTAAGCAGGAAATTTAAATTATTAACAAATATTTAGTCTTGAGAAAGGCGGGCAATTTCAATTTAGACACTTTTAAT